TAATTTTTATTAGCTATATATATATATATATATATGCATGAAATAACAAAAAAATTACCTAATAATATGACTTTAAAATATTTGGTGTACTCCTAAGATATCTTTAAATACCATGTTATTAATACACTTGTATACTTGAATAAAATTTAAACAAAATTGACATGCGCAAACCAAAATAATATCCTACTAATAACTATGCACATGGTATATAAGTGAAACGGAAAAAATATCGTTTATGTGGAGAAAAGTCCTGGAGTGTCAAGAAACACACAAAATAAAACTCATAACTCGGTTAAAAATGAAGATATTTAAAAAATTTTCAGGGTACTTTTGGAATGTCTTTGTGCAGGTCTGGTAAAAATTTCAGATTTTAAATCGAAAAATACTAGCGGCAATGAGCGTTTTTAATAAAAATTTTAAACGCTCATGGTGCGCTAAAAAAATATTCTCATCTTCGCGAATAATTCTCCTAGAATTACGTCGTCTAGCTCTATCGTTAAAAAAAAATTTGAAAATAAAGAATTATGGCTATGCCACTCATAATAAAAGTTGTTAAGGATATCATTGAAGCCGATAATACTTTTTGGTTTCTGAATCATTAGATTTACCGAGTATAAATATAATTAATATTATTAGATTATTATGATTTTATTATTTATCGTAATTATTTACATTTCCTATATGTAATTACTTTACTTTACATTATATTAGGGTAAGTTGAAGTTTTTGTTAAGGTATTGTTTAACTTATTGTTTTATTTTATTTTTTCATTAATATAAAAAATAAATTCGACCTGTTGTTTCTCACGGAAACGAAGAATTCTCCATTCGTTGCCAGTAGTTCGTTAACAGTTATTATTATCATTACCACAACAATAAAAATATAAATTCAAACAACACGACTGCTACCACTACTCAAGTTCCTATTCTTGATTGTATTCATCCTTTTTGCGCCTCAAAATGTATATTGTTTGTTTTGACCGCAATATTTTGTTTCTATATTCCTTGGGAAAATCTGTATCACGCCATACTATCATAGATTTTGTACTTTGTGGGAACAAAATTTTCTCTAGCATTGTAATAATAATTAATTTTGACGGTAATTATACTATTTTAGGGTTAATTACTATCTAACTTTAGCGTATTCTTTAAACATAGTAGTACTTAGTTACTTTAGTTCATTGGCTTCAACAGTAACCTTAAAACACAATTTAAATTTGATCTACTTATTAAGTACATTTAAGTAAAACTAAAATTTTAATAATCTATAATGTATAGCAAATATATTTTATACAAACAAATTAAATACACACAGAAGAATCATATATAAGAGTAGACTAACTATATTAGAGCTTATAGCCATTTTTAATGGGGGAAAAACTATTATGTATATTTATTTTATTGAATATTAATGAGTACTAGAATCAGTTGTACAAAACAGAGGAGAAGGGGGTAGGGTTGTAACCTCCAGAAAAATATTTGCGATGTTTTAATTTTTAGTCGTTACAAATTTAGAAATCGCTAACTTTCTACATTTTTTCAATTTTTTTCACTTAAAACTGCCATGACTTTAGCTTCGATGCCAAGCTGAGAAGGTATTAATTTTACTATGTGTTTTTTTTTTGTGTCTGTTATAACTTTTTCTCAGCTTTCACCGAACCGATTTCTTCGGTGATGCATGATATCTTTACCTATCATTTGATATCATTTTTTTATAAATATGATCCTTTACCTGCCCACAGAAGGGAATTCAAAATGACAACTATTTACAAAAAATGAACTTTTTCAACTTAACTTTTGAAAGTGTTCCGGAAAGTCTGATTCTTTTATATATATCTTAAATTAAAGCTTATGTAATATACTGTAATATTAAAGAAAAAAAATTTTGAACTTTATAAAGCTATAACTTTTTGAAAAATGCATGATGTAAGATAAGTACTATTTATATTTATATATTATTATTATTATTATTATTATTATTATTAATAAATATATATTTATTTATTTATTCGTATATTACACTTATAAATCAAAAACTTGTAATCAGGATATAAGTAAAGAAATAGGAGATCATGTAGCTTTTGGAATAAAACACCAATTTTTTTAAAATTAAACGCTATCTACAGATTTGCATCGAAGCGTTTTTTATGATAGTGATTTTAATCACTGTTAGATATCATTTATACTGGACCCAACTCTACCACGACTCCATTGTGTTGGGTATTTTTAAATTATCAAATTTGATGTCTGTTTCACCATGAAAACAAAATAAAGTTTGAAATTTTTTTTCATATAAAAGTATATTACATAAGCATTAATTTAAGTTATATATAAAAGTGTCAGTATTTCCGGAATACTTTAAAAAATTAAGTTGAAAAAGTTCTACTTTCTATATGCATTTTTAAAGATTTGAACCCCCCTGTATAAAGGGAAATGGTCTGATTTAAAAAAAAAGTATGTAGAATGAAAGAGGTATATAATATTTATAAAATATTTATCACAATAGAATATTATTGATTCATACATTTTTCAAAAAGTTATATAAATATAAAGTTAAACATGTAAAATATAAAATCATAAAACTTGTAATCAGGATATAATTAAGGAAATAGGAGATCATGTTGTTTTTGGAATAATCTACCAATTTTTTTAAATGAAACACTATCTACAGATTTGCATCAAAGCGTTTTTTATAATAGTGATTTTAATCACTGTCAGATTAAACCTATACTGGACCCAACTATACCATATCTCCACCTTACCGCGACCTCGCTGTGCTGGGTTTTTTTTATATTTTGCTCATTCTAGTTTTTTAGTGATTGAGAGTAAAAAATGTTTGGTGAACAAAAGAAAAAAAAGATAATAATTCCCACCCCTACCTCTAAATTATTTTTTAGTTGCACTACTGATTGAAACACTATACAAAGTGTTCAGTAAATAAGGTAATAGACGAATTGTTACAAACAATGAAAAAATTAGAAACTCGTTTCTTTACGTACTGAACACTTTATATAACTACCCAATCCATAATCATTGTGATTTGTTTTTGATGATATGTGTTTTGAAGGATGACAGAATGAGTGGTTTAAACATTTTTTTATTTCTGCTATCATAGACATTTCATAGCACTTACGTTTCGCTTATAATGTTATTTCATCAAGCTAACTTAAAAAATTAAAAACAATTATAATTTGGTGTATGTAAATCAAGGCGGTTACTTTCTTCAAGCTTGTCCTAAATTTGGTATCATATTATATTCAAAATAAAATATAAGTAAAAAAAGTTAGATACCTTCGGGACAAACGAAGTGAGAATGAGTCATTTTTAAATTTCTATTGAATAATATCTGATAATGTTTAAAATCACTGCCATCAAACGCTTCGATGCATATAAAATTAATTATTACCATAAAAAATTACACAATTTTCAACTTAAGAAGTCGATTAATCATAAAAGACAAAATGTTGATGCGTTTTCCTTTTTTTAATCATGTAATTCATTAAATGTGTTTTAATTTAATATGATTGAAGTTTATTTAGATATTTCACTATTATGCAAAACACTTCAAAATCGGGCTTATTTGCCAAAAATTTTATGATTTTTGACTGTAAAGCTTGATAATTCAAAGAAATTAAATTTTTATTTTTATTCGTCTTAAACTGCATTGTATTAGCTTAAATTTTATGTAGGTTTAAATAGTTCAGGATTTGAAACGTTATAAAAATTAAAAATTTTTAATTGAATAAAGGTCCCAAGTTTGTACAACTTTGTCGTAGGATAACATAGGTTTTACTTGTAGTTTTCTAAACATTAATACAAAAAGAATAGTACAGTCGTAGTCCAGCATAATGAAGTTGAATCATTTTTTTATATCAGTTAAAATATGTACCATTTAAATCACTATTGTAAACACTTTGATGAGTAATTAAAACACTTTTGTAGTGATTTTTAAATTTCCAAGTTTCTTGATTAATGATTAAATTTTCAAAAATAATCATCAAAGTAAATATATGAATTATCTTCAATAAAAATTTGGCAATATCTCATCCATTTTTTAAAAAATAATTTCATTAAATTTTTAAACTAAAAATTTTAACATTAGCTTTTATAACAACTGTAGTTTTACGGAAATTTTCCCTTTATTATGGGATTTGAAAGAAATTTTTAAATATTATGATGCTTACAACTTAATTAGACACGTTTTGTAATGTTTTAACGTATTTTCGAGGAAAATCGGTGCAGTATAAGTAGAGTAATCGTGTCAATTGACAAAAAAAACACAGTAGAGTAAAATCAATAGCTCTCAACTAAAAAAGAAAAAGTGATAACATTTTATACATTTAATTATATCGATATGTTATAAATTGTAATTTATATTAATATAACGAAATTTAATCAATATAAATTTTCAATTTTAATTTTCTCATCTGAGCTTCGAAGCTTGAATAATATTTCAAGATATAAATTTTGGCTGCGCATTAACGTATTCTAAATATAAATTAAACACGTTCTTTTTTAATAGACTGAAGTATATGTAAAGTATTGAAGAAGACATTTCCCCTTAACAAATTTTAAGAGTCAAAACTTATAAACAATTAATTTTTTTTAATTTTCTTAAAAAAGTACTTCCAATAATTCATTATCTGATAAACTAATATTTTATAAGGCAAAATGCCTATGAATACACTATAAATATTTTTATTTATTAAAATTTATTTATGTTATATGTGTAAAACATTAATCTTAACATTCTTAATAATTCATAAATTATGAAATATTACACTAACTGTAGACTACTTTTAATTTACTGGAATATTCAATGAATTCTATGTTTAGAATGTAAAATAACCCACCAAAGCCAGATTAGAACTAACTAAATTTCTTATATGACAGTGTGAGTTTTATTTAGCCTATATCGTGATTGAGTCTTATCAATCATTTCATTGTCTAAACTGACTCAAAAGTTCCTAATTTAGGTAACACTGAGTATAATTGCTTAATTCACATTTGAAATTCTCTCGCCGGTTGACACGAGTTACATTTTGTAAATATCCACAAATATTGAAGAAAAAGTTAATAATTAATAACTATTTTAACTTGCGAATAAAATTTGTTTATGTAATATATATTAAATTAAAGTATTTTTTGATGGAATATAATAAATTAGACGAATTAATTTTAAATTGTCACTGATATTTTAGGAATATTCTCAGGTTAGTGAATGATTTATTTATTTCAAAACTTATTTTAACAGTGGATAAAGAATTCAAATTAAAACGTATGTTTCTTTTAAAGAATATTATGTATTTAGTTGTTTACTATAAAAGAGCATCTCTAAAAATAAACTTAATAAATATTGATAGATTTTATTTTATATTTTAGGATTATTAATATTAGCACTTAGTGCTTAATCTTTTATTTCTGAGTGGTTAACTAGTTTAAAGTTTAAAGTTTTTTAATAGTTATCATGTATTGTATTAACTTGATTAATAAAGTTTAATTAAATTGATCATTTATATATTAGTCTTTGTTTTAATAAATTATTCTAAAATAATAGACAAATTTTTGTTTATTCATTATATTAAAAATGTCTTTATAGTCTAATGTTTAATTTAACTAATACATTCATCTTAAGGTAATGAGTACAAATTTAAACATTTAATTTATCTTTCTACAATCGTCCTTAATATTAAATGTATTTTATTCACGATTAATGCTACACCTATACTCCCTCTTATATGTTTGTTCCTTATCCTATCTCCTCTTGTCAACAGCCCATCACTCTGAACCATACATCATAGCTAGTTTCATTATAATCTTATAGAATTTACCTTTAAACTTCATTGGAATTCTCTTATTTATTTATTTACACCCAAACGCAAGAGAGTGTACAAAAACTTCAATAAATAGTTAACTTAAGATTACGATTAAGTAATATAAAATGGATTTTTAAACAAAACGACACTGTTTTGCTACTAAATATAGAGGTAATGCAATATTAAAACACTTATTATGTGTTATGTGTTTCCATATTTAAGAAAAAACAGCCTATTGAAACCTACAAATCAGTATTCGACTTTAATATTACATTGAGGTTATTAATAACTATTAGGACACTGGTAACACTTTTGTTTAGTTCCTATGACATAAGAACATCTATTATAGAGTTTATGTACACTTTTTTATAATAACACTATTTTATTTAATAAAAGATAATAATTTAAAAATATGTGGTAATTACTACCATATTAAATATTTATTAGTGCATAAATGTTATAAATTGAAATCTCAGTTGCTAGTGATAGATGAAAAAATTAAATCCAAAAACTTGAAGACCAAGAATGAAACATTTTTGAAAATACTAAAAAATCTAACAAAAAAACAATAATTTTGTTTGTTTATTATCTATTTGTTGTTTTTTCTAGAATTAAATGATATCTGTCTTCTAACTAGCGATCTCAGTAGTAAGATAGAGGATTTCTATCTTACTCAATAGTTTTGTTGTCTCATGGCCCACAGTATAGTTCAAAAAGAATATATTGTTATTAATTATTAAACTTAAATATATGTTTTTTTTAGGTATAAGTGCATTAAAGGCTATGGATGAAGGAGTGGATCCAATATTTGCCATGAGACTGAGGGCACAGCTTTCTAAAAGTCCAGATTATGTTGTTTTAAAAAATCGTCAAATACAAAATGTAGTTAATGTGATACCCCAAATCATTGAAAAAGAAAATACTTTAATGGATTTTAATAGATATGAAGAAATGGATGTAGATAATGATCTATATGAACCAAAGTCTTTTAAAAAGTTCAAAAGTAATCAAGCTAATATACTCTCTAATTATGAACGAATGAATTTCAATAACTCTAGAGCTGACCGATTTATACCATACAGAGAAGTAAATAATCTTACTACAAGATTTAATATCATGTCTGAAGATAGAAATTGTCTAGATAATAGAAAAAAAGATTTTCATAATGAATTTATTAATAAAAATGGTGCATACAAAACTATTCTTCATAATGAGCTTATTGGATTCAGTACAAGAGAATTAGGATTACCAAATAAAAATAGAAATCAATTAGCTATAAAACGAAATTTATTCCAGTTTTATTCTTCATGTCCAGAAAAAATTGGTAATATCCAATCATGTTCTCCGTATTCATTATCACCTCTGGGTGCAAAGAGTCAAGAAATTCTAAGATCTCCAAGAAAAATACCTAGAAAAATATCCAGAGTGCCTTTTAAAGTTTTAGATGCCCCTGAATTACAGGATGACTTTTACTTAAATTTAGTAGATTGGTCATTATCAAATTTACTTGCTGTTGGATTAGGCAGTTGTGTTTATCTTTGGTCTGCAACAACAAGTAAAGTAACAAGAATTAGTGATTTGTCATCTGATGGTAATGTTGTAACTTCAGTTGCTTGGAATGATAAAGGTAATTATTTAGCATTTGGAACTCAAGATGGATCTGTTGAAGTTTGGGATATAATAGCAGAAAAACAAATTAACAGTTTGGCTGGTCATACAGGAAGAGTTGGAGCTATTGCTTGGAATGGAGATGTTGTTTCTTCAGGAAGCCGTGATCGTAAAATATTATTAAGAGATATGAGAAGTCCAAGTTTATCTATTTGTAGAAAATACTCTGGACACAGACAAGAAGTATGTGGTTTAAAGTGGTCTCCTGATAATCGTTACCTTGCATCAGGAGGTAATGATAATAAATTATATGTATGGAATACTCATGCATATACTCCACAATTAACTTATAATCAACATACTGCAGCAGTTAAAGCAATAGCATGGTCTCCACATCAACGAGGTCTTTTGACTAGTGGTGGAGGTACGGCTGATAAATGTATTAGATTTTGGAATACTTTAACAGGTCAATCAATGCAGTGTATTGATACTGGGTCACAAGTGTGCAATCTAGCCTGGTCTAAAAATACTCAAGAACTTGTTAGCACCCATGGATATTCACAGAACCAAATAGTTGTATGGAAATATCCTTCAATGAGTCAAATTGCTAAGCTTACTGGTCATACATTTCGTGTGTTATACTTATCCATGTCACCAGATGGAGAATCAATTGTAACAGGAGCTGGAGATGAAACCCTACGTTTTTGGAATATTTTTTCAAAAGCAAGATCACAGAGAGAACCAAAATCTAAACTTAATCTTTTTACTAACATAAGATAAAAATTAATAATTGCAAATGTTCTAAAAATGTAAACATTTCTTGATCTCTCTTTCTTATGAATTTATAATTTGTTTATCTTTAATCCGTTTTATTTTGTTGTCTATTGAACAAACCTAACCTTTATTTAATCTTTTTTTTTTGTAAACCATTTTATTACTTATAAGAACAATTAGAGAACTAAATTTTGTTTTTTCTTGAAAGTATGTTATTTTTTTTAATATTTAGCAATTAATTGGTGAGGAATGTTTTTCCTTAAAGTACTGATAATACTTAACAATATTTTTAATTATTTCTTTAAAAATATATATTAATAATTTTTAATTAAATAATCCTCTTAGTTTAAAATATTGAAACCCATATTTGATTATTACTTCATTATATTATGTATTATCAAAAATTATTAATATGTTTCATAATAAAATGAATAATTTTACTTGAAAAATATTATTGGAACAATTTAAAAACGTTAATTTAAGAACATTAATTAAATAAACCTATAACAATTTCATAAAAGTAAAATGTTTAAAAAGAAATAAAGAATAATTATTAACAATCAACTAATCAATTTAAGCTACATTCCAACATTTTATTTCATTTATATTTTTAATGAAAATTATTTTATTAGAATTCGAAGAACAATGCAGCAAATCTTCCATTTTAAAAATTAATATCTTGTTCAAACAATTACAATTTGTTTAAATAATAAAGATTATAATTGTTATATATTAGTAAAATAATCCTAATGAACTAGTTTTTAGGTTCCTAGCTTAGCTTTACATTGTGATTAATTTATGTATATTCAAAAAGCCTTTATGTCAGTTTTAAGTTAACATATGTGAATAAAATTGTAGAAAATGTATAATAAATACATCAATATAAATAAAATTAGTGTAATGGATGTTATAAAGTTTTTTATTTTTATTGTAATTATTTTTTATATTATAATGCCACTTGTATAATATTATATTTATGAATGATTAATTAAAAATTTTAAACTATTTTTCATGGTGATGTAACATTATTTTCTCTTTAATAACTACTATACTGCTATATTATAGGGTGATCTGTACTTCGTACCACTAAATTAATGATTAAATTTTCAAAAAGAGTAGCAAAGTAAATTTTTAATGTATTATCAATAAAAATTTTGCAATAATCCTTCCAGTTTTCAAAAAAAAAAGGCAGAAAAAACCCTATATTATCAGCTTACCAATCGAAGATAAAATAATATGCATTATCAAGGATAAAGTTTATTAAATACCGTATTTTTGTATAAAATTATTTTAATATAAAAAAAAAATAGCTTTACCCAGTTTTTTAGTTCTATAACATCAAGAAGGCTAATTTTTGCTCCCACGTTAAAAAATAGTTAAAGCGAAATTGTGATTGATATTTTTCTAGGAAATTCATTTCGTATAATATATAAAATTTAATTTTAGAGTAAAATTAAAAATTACTATTACTTTGATGCATCGAAACTTATGATAATTATTATTTTAATAAGTGTTGTGTTCTTATATAGTTACGACTTACGTCTTACTTTTGAATACGTTTATACTTGTAGTACTATATAATTAATAGTTATCAGTATTGTAATTTATTCATATCGTTTTTATTATTGGTGATATTAGTGGCTAGTGGTGCTTTATTAACTATATTTTGTAAGTTTGTGTTGTTATTATATTATTATTTGTTAATATTAGTTAATATAATATTTACCTACAATTCTAGACTCAAGTCATATCGATTTATATCACTAGATATTTATGTTATTATATCCCATTTATATTATTACTTGTGTAATGTGATCATAATATTGATGAAAAATCACTTAAAATTTAGGGTTTTAGTCTTAAATCAAGGATTCTAGTAAACTTTGGTGCTCGTTAACCAAAATTGACTAGATTTCAGTATCTTGCAATGAATGTAAACAAGTTATAAAAACGTCTGGCAACACATCCAACCTTAGAGCACATTTGGATAAATATTTGAAAAAAGCAGAAGCTAGGTTTGATGCTTCAATAAGTAACAAACTTGAACAACAACAAATTTCCCAATTTGTTTCAAGTAGTGGAGGAGTCAATAAGAAAACATGTAATAAGATGTTTCAAATGATTCAATTTCCAGATGACCCAGATGTAAAGAAAAATTACTTATAAAAATGTTACAAATATGTTAATTGATTTATGTAACTGTGCTTACAGTATGTTGTTCAAGATAATCTTAGTAGTGCTACTGATCAAAATTCAATTGCAAACTCATTAAAAACAGTAGTGCCCATTCCAAAGAGTTCTCCACTTCAGAGACAACAAAATATAAATGAGGTGTTCAAACAAATTTCATCAATGGCTGGTAAAGTTTATTTTTGAATACACAGTTGATAATAAATTAATAAATGTATATATAATACCTTATCTGATTAAATGTATTTTTTTTAGTTGGTGGAACACAACATAAATGCATAACAGAAGCGATAGCATATTTTTTATGCAAAGATAATAAAACCTTCTGAACTATTGAAGGAAAAGGCTTCAGAAATATAGTTAACAAATAAAATCCTTTGTATAAAGTCCCTTATATGAATACTATCAAAACATATATTAATGATAAGTACAAAATTGTTGAATCTAAATTTCAGTCGGTTTAAAAAATATTTCATATTTTTCTTTGATCACCACTGACATTTGGACGGACAGGGAAAAAAATTTTTTTTAGGAATTACCATTCATTATATACAAAGCCTGTCATTGAAATCTAGTATGTATTGTTAGAAGGATTAATTTGTTATAATAAACTGTCATTAAATGTTTTTTTTTTTCAAAACAGGAATTATTGTTGTCATAAATCGCATACAGCCAATTACATCAGCTAAGAAATAATAAAATGCTTGAATGAATGGAATATTTCTAAGGAAAAAAAATGGCTGTTGTATATGATAATGGGGCAAACAAAACTAAAGCGGTGAAAGATTCATTTGACACTTATAACTATGTACCTTGTTTCGCACATTCAATCAATTTAGTTGTCGAAAAATCAATTACCAATACCACATCAATATCTGAATTATTATTAAGTGTAAGAGAGATTGTTAAGCATTTTAAACGAAGCACTGAGCGATGAACTTAGAAAAATACAGATAAATTAAGGTATATTAATTTATAATAGAAAACTTATGTTCTAAACAAAATATAAGTTTTTTTTTGTTCATTCAGGCATAAAAGAAGGTGTAGTTAAAAAATTGGTTCTCAATTTAAGCACCTGATGGAATAGTGTCTTATACATGCTTTAAAGATTTGTTGAGCTATCTAAAATTATAGTGGATATAATGCTGACATAACCAAACGGTCTAGAAATGGTATCACCTAGACAGCTGCAAGAAATACATGATATTATAGTGGTTTTGCGTTCTCTGGAAATGGTCACAACTGAGATGTCAGCAGAAAATTATGTCACTATTAGTAAGGTTTTACCAATTGTAAGTTGTTTGAATAATGGTGTAATCTCACAACTTCCTAAGAGAGATTTAGGGGAAAAGTTTAAAGGTGCTATCATTACCCAATTAAATAGACAATTTGGAAATATTAAAATCTTCACCAGTAACTTATTTTAAGCAAAATCCATTAGAAACGTGGGAAGACATGAAATTAGTTTTTACATTAATTTATGTAGAAGCTCAAAAAGTATTTTGTATTGTCGCTACATCTGTTCCTTCTAAAAGGCTATTCTCCAAAGTTGGAAAATATTCTTTCCAAAGAAAGAAATAGGTAATTTAATTATTTTAATTGGATATATAATAAATCTATATATATTACACTAATTAATTAATTTGTTTTTAGATTATTGGGAAAAAGATTTTTCAAGTTGGATAATGTATAACTTTTTATTTATTTTTATATTTAAATAACACTCGTTGAGCTTAGTTATTATGATAAATCCATTAAAAATGTCCACATTTATTTCTTTAAAAAATGATAAAGTTACATCGAACTTAATAAATAATTCTAACAATATAATATTTGTATTATTATTTGTGTTATTTCATTACTGCTAAATAAATTTTTTATAAAACATACTATATAAATATCATATGTATGTATATTTAGGCTGGATACTATTTTTTTTCTAATAAGCCAATTTTCAAAAGTCAATAGCTTAATTACAAATAATTTATACTACTAATATGATATATTTGTTAAAAAGTACGCAAATATGTAATGTATCATTACATTTTAGGGTTCGGAAGTTAATGACCTAAAAAACCATTATAAATTACTAATAAAAATATGAATAAATTGTCTAAAAACGACAGAAGACGCCTTTCAAAAAATGACCCGAAATTGACATATAATGAATTAAAATAACTTAAGTGAATACAAAATATAAAAAAAATTACTATTGATCATTTATTTTTATTTTTAAACCTCTAGTTAAACAATTTAATGTGTAAATGTATGAATAAAAACAATGTTAATATCGTCAAAAAATATTAAAGACAAATAAAAATGATATCTAATTAGATTTAAATTACATTATTATTTATTTAGGTACCTAATTATATTCATTTGTTTACGTAACCAATGTTTTAATATAAAAAATAGACAAAAGTAATGTAAAATATTAGATAAAATGATTTAAAGTATAGAAAATAAAATGTTATGACAACAATGAAAAAAAAGCTAGAAAATACAATATAAAAATTAGTTATTAAGAATCGCATGATACTGAAACACATTTTCAGCTAAGAATTCATCATCTAAAAACTTCAAAATCAAATGCAAAACGCATCAACTTCCATGTTCTAACAATGACAAACAAAGAAAGAATAAATATTAAAATTGTTTTTGAATTATCGATATTTTCTGATTCTATATATCGACATATCGATATTTAGTTTTTCGAGGTTGGGAAAATTTTTTCCATCCCTCTACAGACTATACGTTTTGACTATAGTCTGTGAAATAGTATATAAAGGGAGGTAATATGTTGTAGGTGATATCACAGACTATATGGAAACAGATAGTTAACTTGGCCCGGTAACAAAACGGTGTATTGATTGGCAGAAGAGAATCAGTGCAACTATATGTATGAGCGCAAAAATTCTTTTAATTTATTTCATTGTTAAATTTGCTGTAGCATAAATATTAAGAAATTCCGTAAAAAAACATGATTATTGACATAACTTTTTTTAATACATCATTAAATTAAGGTATTAAACCCTTAACCCTTATTTATTACTTTTTCATGAATAAAAATCTCTAAATTAGTCATGAAAATTAAGTAATTCTCAGCATTTATAATGTGAATTATTAACTACTTAAATTTGACTTAAGCAGTTACAATTGTTTTTGTTTCTGTACACGAATACAAATTAAGGGAGCTATAGATGCGGAATTCCTATTTTAGTAGTCTCTGAGGTAAAATTTCTATAGGAGAAGAAACGATTTTAAGTAGTAATTGCAATCAATTTTATATGTTATAATTAATTACGTACTATGCGGTCAGCAAAATGTAGGGGGTCTAGATACCTCAAATACATTTACTTATGTATATTTGTTTACCTATCTCAACCATGAACCTGTTCTAGTCCTGCACTAGTTAAAATGCAGGGTTCTATTGTCTTAGCACCTTGCATAAGTGTACTAGATGACTAAGGTACACAGGTAGAAACCGCTACTTCAAATCATACCTATTGTTAATCAATATTCCTACGTCGCTCTAGTGCATACCTTTCATGGTGTCTTTGATACTATCTAGTTTGTGTACGTTAACACTTGTTTTGCTCTTTCGTGTGATCACAAGTTTCGTGTTATATTTGGTGCTTTCTTTCAAAATATCTCACTACCTCACCAGTATGCGATGTTCAGTGAAGTTTTGTCCAAGTAGATTTTCCTTCAAGGATAAAAGCATTTTTTCTTATCCTAAAGAAAACGATCGTTTGAAACAATGGATGAATAATTGTCAAACTAATAATTTGGCAGACTTAATTCAAAAAAAAACAAATGGTAGGTAAAGACATGCATTTATAAAAAACCCAGCACAGGGGGGTCGCGGCACAGTGGTGACGTGGCATAGTTGGATCAAGTAAATGATATCTGACAGTGATTAAAATCACTATCAAAAATAAACGCTTCGATGCAAATCTTTAGATAGTGTTTAATTTTAAAAAAATTGGTGTTTTATTCCAAAAGCTACTTGATCTGCTGGTTCCTTATTAATATCTCGATAAAGATAAAGTATGGTAAATGAAACAGGGTTTATTAAAAAATATTATTTGTCATAAAAAAATTGTGTAGATCCATAAACTTTTCAATAAGTTATAGCATTATAAAGTTAAATATAATATAAATAATAAAATCGAGAATTTTCACACGAAAAAAGCATTCGGTAGCCATTTTCGCCGTGAAGACAAGTCCAGAGGTCAAATTTTTTTTTTTCAAATTAAAGTATATTACATTAGCTTTAATTTAAGATATATATAAAAGTGTCAGACCTTCCGGAACATTTTCAAAAGTTATGTTGAAAAAGTAAATTTTTTGTGAAAAAGTTGTCATTTTAAATCCCCCCCTGTGGGCAGGTTAAGTGTCAGATTTACAAAAAAAATATACCAAATGATAAGTAAAGACATCAAGCATCTATATAAAAAAAAATTATATTGATATGTTCATTTTTGAAAAAGTTAGAGCATTATTAAGTTAAAAATATAAAAAAAAATTATTTTACAAAAATCGTAATTTTTTATTAACTTTGATGTCAACTTTCACCACGAAGACAAGTCCAGAGGTCAAATTTTTTTTTTTCAAATTAAAGTATATTACATAAGCTTTAATTTAAGATATATATAAAAGTGTCAGACCTTCCGGAACATTTTCAAAAGTTAAGTTGAAAAAGTTAATTTTTTGTGAAAAAGTTGTCATTTTAAATCCCCCCCTGTGGGCAGGTTAAGTGTCAGATTTACAAAAAAAATATACCAAATGATAGGTAAAGACATCAA